GTGGCTTTACTAGTCTCCAGCCGGCCGTACATGTTTTCGCCCAAAATCGACCTTTTGTTTTTGCCCAAATGACAAAAAAGAGTGATTTGGTTTTCGCCCAAAGAAATATTATTTATAGTAAACGAAAAAACATTTTGGTTAACACTGTATTTTTTTTTTTTATTGAAAATGTGTGTAAATGACTATACGTATACCTACATAATAGTATAATACTATTTTTTTTATATGTTTTACTCTTATACATATATATCATTTAAAATCTGTTTTCTGTGTTTTTACAAATATTATTTACATTGGCGAAAACCAAATCACTCTTTTTTGTGTTTAGGTAAAAAAGGTCATTTGGGCAAAAACCAAAAGGTCGATTTTGGGCGAAAACCGATTCGCCCCTCCAGCCCCGCACTGAGGTCTAAGAAATAAGTATCCTATACTCATATGTTAGCTATACTTATATAAGTAGACAGTAGTCAGTACTCAGTAGTATATATTCGGTATCGACAATTATTCACAATGTGAAATAATATTATAACGTGTTTGTCACACGATTTAAGATATTTATTATTTACTAATATTATTACGATAACAAACTTTATAAGTATTTAGTCATAATCAGTCGCAGTTTTTGGGCGTGTCTACACGATTTTAGTCCCGCCCCCTAGTCGCTATAAAAGCAATGTTATTACAGCGGACTTTCCCTACTGAATACTATTTATACTGTGGTTATACATTAAAATATAATATCATTTACACTTAAAAATATATTGCTTCCACATCATATTACACCCAAAAGGAGTTGACCAATCAGAATCTTTTTCCGAGTAACGGAAAAGTTAAGATAAGTTTTTAACAGTTTTACACTACTCTGCATACAGTTCAATTACTCTTCATATAAAAAAAAATGCTGCAAGATAGACAGGATTTGTGGAGCCACGAAGCAGCCCCACAATTTGCAAACAACTATCCGTGGCGGAGCACGCGGGTGACAGCTAGTTAATAATAGTTGAAACCCATTTTACAGTTTATTAGATTAAGCATTATACTATTACAATATACAATATGCTCTTTATTCATGTAATATCAGTTGTTCTCAAAAATATATTAGCCTACTAATGGTGGACTATCTTGATAACCAATCAGAAACGACAAGCTCTATGACAACACTCTTATTATCAAGGCACCCTAGTATGTAAGTACTTACGTTAAACTTGCGTCATTTATTTCCGCAATTATCGACTTCATTTTTTCAGCTGTACCTATATGGTTTTTTACCATAATATTAATAATATTTATTAATTTTTGGTGAGAGTCAGTTTTTTCTTTAAACTCATCCATTTCGTAGAGGTTTGTAAAGAAATGACAATGAATATTTTTTTAAATACCATAGGGCAGGGGTTCTTAACCTTTTTTGGGCCATGGACCCCTTACAAGTAAAAATTATAACCACGGACATTTTTGGTTTGAAAATCTTGACGTGTTATTTCTTTCGATCTTAAATCAATTAATTCATCTTTTACCAGGTCTGAATCATCAATTGAATTTAAGCCTACAACAAAAGGATTACGTAACCATATGTCTGTTTTTGAATATGTAGAAATCAAATAATCGTTAAATGAATTTTCAAGTTCATCAAGATGTTCACAAATTTGTGTTTTTATGGAGCTGGACAAAATAATATTTTTTTTGAAAGTTCGTGTTCAATTGTTGGAGAGTTTGCTAAATTATCCGACTGCAATCTTCTTTTCCACAGAAGAATTTTATTTACAAATGAACTTATTGTTTCGGCTGCGTTCATAATTGAAACTTCTCGTCCTTGAATCGATGTATTAACTTCATTCAAATGACTAAAAATATCTGACAAATAAGCCAATCCATGAATGAATTCAATATTATCGAAATGTTTGGAGAGTGAGCTTTGCCTTTCTATTAAAAAATAAGAAATTTCTTCGCGAAGTTATACAAACGTTTCATAACTTGTCCTCTAGAAAGCCAACGTACTTCTGTGTAGTAAAGAAGAACTTCATGTTCAGCTCCTATTTCTTGACATAAAACCTTGAAAAGTCGGTGATGCATGGCTCTAGATCTGATGAAATTAACAACTTTGACTGCAGTCGTCATAATTTCTTTTAGATCCGTTGGTAGAGTTTTTGATGCCAAAGCGTGCCTATGAAGAAAGCAATGAATAATGATGATGTCAGGAATTTACTGCTTTATCAAAGCCGTGAAACCAGACGTTTTACCCAGCATCGCAAGAGCGCCATCGGTGCACAGCGAACCAAGTTTTTTTTATAATTTAGTTTATGTTTGGAAAAAAAAATTAGTTATCATTTCATACACGTCAACGGCCTTTGTATTTTTCAAAAGTGGTTGACAAAATAAGAATTCTTCTTTACTAGTTCCAGAATATATGTAACGAACAAAAACTAATAATTGGCTGCATTGAGAGATGTCAGTACTTTCGTCCAATTGCATACTGAATGAAAAAGGAGATAAATTTAATTCCGCAATTACTTATTCCAAAATGTTAGTTGACATGTCAGAGATCCTGGAGTGAATAGTATCATTTGACAAAGGTATAGCTTCAATTTTTTTTCGTTGTTCCAAACCACAAACTAGTTCTACCATTTCTAATGCACATGGTTTTATTAGTGATTCACCAATTGTATGCGGTTTTTTGTTTCGAGCAATGCGGTAAGCTACTTTGTAAGATGCCTCGAGACATGGTTTCTGTGGTTGTAAAAATCCAAGTTGAGGTAAAGTACCTGATTTTTCAAAACGTGCCTTTTTTGTTTGAAAGACTTCCGAATTATCTGACACATGTTGAGGATGCAACGAAACGAAATGTTCTTTGAGTTTAGCTGGTTTCATGCTTCCATTTGCAAGGACTTTTCCGCAAATAAAACATAGTGGTTTTTGCGTACCATCGCGTTCAGTAATAAATGTAAAACCAAACAATTCATATGAATTGTTATAATTTCTTGTTTTGACATGGACATATTGTTGAATTATCAAAAAAATAAAATAAATAAGTGTGAAAATTAAAGTGAATATTATAATATGACTGCAAAATGTAATAATATATCGCGGTAAAAGTCGGAACACTCGAAACAAGTAATAAAATTAAACGGCACAACGTTCAATACGACGGTTACGGGTCAACTGATAAGTGATGGGTTTCCGTAATTGACATTAGTTAAATACGAAATAATGACTGGTTTACCCCGTAATTGTCTATCGATAGGAGGAACCCGAGCAAGACATTGTTTTTGTTATCTTATTCACGTTTTCAGAAATTGTACCAATGTATTGTACATCGATAAGAAAAATTAAATAGTTTACGGTTGAAATTTAAAATGTATAAAATAAATAAAATAATTTCTACTTCAACCGACAATTTTGATTCATTTAATAATTTGAATTACTCTTGCATAAATTTAATTTTGGGTATTTTTTGAAAAAAAAAATGCAAATCAGTCCAAGGGCCCCCCCCCTGGTAACCATGTATGGACCCCCTAGGGATCCATGGACCACCGGTTAAGAACCCCTGTCATAGGGAAACTATTATTGTAACTATTATGAATGTATAAAATATTAAATTTAATTTTAAACACATTTTTTGAACCACTGAAGATAAAATATTTTATAGTACCAATATTCCGCCTATTACATTTCTTTCATTCAAAACACAATAGACCGTGCTTATTTCCGTTTACCAATGTGATTGAATGATCTACACAGCAACTATACACTGCTTTAACATGGTATTACCAAAATGTTGATATGACATTATGATTATGACTTTTATCAAAACCAATAAATATCATCTACTCAATTCAGATAGTCTGGAAATTAGGCAGGCATAATAATCATATAGAATACAAATAAACGTGGTTAATGGATGTAATCAAACTATAGACATGTGCGATAAATGTTGTATTTCAATACACAAAGTGAATGACCAGATTGTGAAAAAAATTACACAATGTTAAATTGGAGTGACCATTTTGTGAAATATTTTCAAATTTTATGAAGTGTAAATATTCATTTCCATTTCATGAAATGGTCATCTTTTCATTAAAAGTTCACGAAGTGGGTAGGTACGAAAAATATAAAATCCAAGACCGATAAGTAATATAAAAAGGTATGAACGGAATGAAGATGTGTAATTAATAATTAGGAATCCTTTAATTTTTTATAATATACTTAATTGCCGTTATAAATTTGTCCTTGGTAGTGGAAAATGTTGAAACATAGTGAAAATGTATTTAAAAACTAAAAAATACATGTAAGTGGATGTTGCTCTGCTGTACAAGTGGGTATAATGGATTGTATTACATTTTAATTCAATGATATCATATCATTGTATACGAAAAACATTCTGGACGGTTTGTTAGTCTGAATATTTTATATTTTATTATAGCCTGTAAGTTGAATTAATATTATAAATTACAACAAAATAACGAAAATTGTTAATTTTATTTGTTTCTATGGTAATAAACAGATCGTTAAAAATTAAAATTCCATTTTTAGCGGATTTTTATAATTTGTTGATGGTTTTTCCCGTGGCATTAAATAACTGTTGAGAAAAATGACCTCACTAAAGTACTAAAGTCCAATTTTCTAAAAGATAAGATACTATATGTTAAAATCTAAGCACTCCTTGTTTTAGAAATTTTGTATACAGGATAAAATAAAAAAAATAAACACCATTTTAAAACCACTAGATCCCTCACTCCGCTCAGAATCTAAAATACTTAATTGTAAATATTAAATACTGACTCAATACCAACTCAATTATAAATACATATCATTCATTTTATTTATGGCCAGATATATGACAATCCATAGAAAATGTTTTCAAAAAAATATATGAAAATGTCCCGGAAAATGTACACCACACCCTATAAACCTCTTTTATGACCAAATGGCAAGTTTAATAAAATTGTAATGGTTTATGTTCACAGTATCTTATTGACAAACAGACAATAGAGAAGATATTCAATATGGATTCATTCAAAACAACAGTTGATGATTGCGCGATAAATTCCAAGTGAGCAAATACATTATGATTAGTGTAGCATTTACAAAATATAATTTGAACCTACATTTTGAAATAATTTCATTTTATAAAACTAGTTGTTTTGATTATTTATGTTATTATATTTGTGCATAGTATATTATTATGTAATTTTTAAATTAATAGACTATAAATAAAAAATCAATTTTTTTAAAGTATTATGATATATTACACAGTGCTAGAGTGTTGTCAATCCCACTTACACGATGTGATGATCAAATATTTAATGGAGTTTTCAAACAAGAAATTATTGGCGATCAAGTATTTAATGGAGTTTTCAAACAAGAAATTATTGGCGATCAAGTATTTAATGGAATAGTAAAACAGGAAAATATTGATAATCAAGTTTTCAATAGAAAAATTACAGATGAAATTAATGATGAAAGAGACCATCACAATGATAGTCATTTACAAAAAAGGTATGAATTAAATGTATATCATAGTATAAAATTAATTTTTATGATACAATTTTTATAGATTTTCTTTTTAAATATTTGGTTTAACCTATAAGAATAAAGTTTATTTAAAATTAATAAATAAAAAGGTTTGGCAAGTAGGCCCTGCTTTGTTGTACATAAAGTGTTATTTGGGTCACTGTAATGGATTTTATGTTAAATTTGATTTCAAAGATATAAAATGAATGTACCTATTTGTAAAATGATTCTTAGCGTTCACAGTCCGTCAGCCTATATTACTAAGTAGGTACTTATATTTTATGATGCTATCGCTATTAAAGGAATTTAATTTCCTATTCGTAAAGCTGTAAAATGGATTCATTTTTTCCGAAAACTGCATTTGAAAATGTCATTTTGTGTATAAAAATATTAATAATTAATTAATAATTAATATGATCATATACTTTAAAAGTTTCAAGGATACACCCACTAAAATGGGTAACACTTTTTAATTACAGCTTGTTATTCTTGGATAAAATACCTAATTTTGGATAAAATTGAACTTTCCGCATTTTATAGATTTTGGCTTTGATATGATATGTTTATGAGAAATTATGTTTTTAAGGTCCTTTAGGTTACGTTCGTGAAGTTGCCCCCCCCCCCCACATGATCCCACATACTACAAACTGGTATCAAAATTTTGCAATTTTTATGCAATTAATTGCAAGTCTTGCCCTAAATTTTGCTATTCATCTTGAGGCCCGTATATTCAAAAATTATTATGGTTGGGCCAAGTTCACGCACAGTTAGTAAGTTGATAAATAGCAAATAGTAGTTAATCTAATATTGAAGTTGTCGACTGCAAACATTTTTTTTTCCGAATTTTTTTATTCAAAAATTTCCCATGTAACCTATAATTGGTATAAAAATAATAATAAACATAATTTTTTTTTTAAATATACTAGGTAACTACAACTAAAATTACGATAAGGTAGGCTACACAACCCCTATGGTTCTACTGACTTCAAACTGGTATCGACATTTGGCAATTTTTCTTGGACTAATTGCATGTCTCTCGAAAAAAAAATGCAATTCGTTTAGTGGATGGTAAAACACGAAATGGCGCGTGGAGCGCAATTTCATGCAGTCCCTTCACATGGTCACAAAAACTTCAAACTGCTTTAGCAATATTTTACATAATTATAAACCCATAGGTCATAATATTATAACTAGGTTAACAATTTCAATTCATAAAAAAACTACATACAATCATGGATAATAATATTACTGTTAAGTCGACTCTACACAGCGTTTGAAAAATCTAACAATGCCCATGAACATTTAAAATACTCAGTTTAATCCTATCCTACAGCCTTTGTTGGACAATATTGACTGAATGTCCTAATATTTTTATAACTTAGTATAATTTATGTAATTTTTTCTAAATTCACCGATAAATTTATACCATGTCAGTACAATGGCCTAGTATGTTTAATGTTTATAATATAATATAAAATATTTTGTATGTTGTACAAACTACAAACAAAATCAAAAACATAAAAAATAAAACACGTTGCCGTAGTAGGGATGGCGTCTGACCATATGTCTGACCGCCACCCGACGACAACTCGTCGTCGCCGACAACTGTTCTTATTTTGATCAGAATATATATAAGTTATTTTTATTATTAATATTTTTTATGTTTTTGATTTTGTTTGTAGTTTCTACAACATAATTGATAATACTAGTTGGTATATTTAAAAAGAAAAAATATAATACTATTTTAAAGTTTTAAATTACGAGTATTAACATTGTAGAATAGTTTATAATATTACAAAATATTTTATTTTAATTATGAGAAAGCACACACCACTCTATCCACCGCATGCGGATTGCTCATTTTGGTTTCGTCTAAGACGGTGATGACTGACTTGCTAGAGTCTAGCAAGTGGTTCTTAACCTTTTTTAGTTCAGCGCCCCCTTTATCGTAATAACTTACTGCTAACGCTCCCCCCCCCACATGCAAAATCAATATGTATTCTAATAAATATATATATATATATTTTTATTTATTCATCAGTATATTACAGTATAACATTATTAATTAAAGTAAAAACTCTTATTTTTAGATAATAAAGGTTATATTTTTCACCAATTAACAAAAAAATTTTACTTTACTATACAAAAAGAATTACTTAACTATGAAAAAAAAAAAATTATAAAATATAAAAATTATACCTATCAATGACTGCCCTGAGCCTGATGAGTAGCTGCTAACGTGGCGATGTCTGATTCGATATTGGTTAAAGCTAAACGTAGATCACCTTTGTTACAAATGTCCAATCGATTTCTTTGTTTCAAAAGCTGAAAAACAACGCTGAATCCTTTTTCAACTAGATAGGTTGACGGAAAAGAGAGAAGCAACAATTTAACGCTCACCGCCCCCTCAACGCCCCCTTCAAAACTATCGCCCCACATAGAGACCGAAATGCCCCCAAGGGGGCGGTAGCGTCCCCGTTAAGAACCACTGTAGCTAGACACTCTAACATGCAGGTTTTTGAATTTACATTTTTTACACATACAAAAATGCACCGGACATACACTAATTGATTTGCCGATTTTCATGGGCTATATTAGATTTCTAGACATTGAAACTCGACTTTCAAACTTTTCCGCCTTCGAAACGAGACCGCCAAACAGCCAGGTCTTATCACAAATTCTTATCACAAAATCCCTCTGATTACCAAAATCACCTAAACACTATAAGTGTGACATTTGTAATTTGACTATGTCTTCAAAATTGGTACTCACTTGCAACTAACAAGGTGGGGTCCGGGGTCTAACTATATTTTCCATTCTTCAGTTACCTACGCTACCAACATGGTCCGCAATCCACCGCGTACCTGGTGATATACGCTTCGCTTTATGTCCGCGATTCGACGCAGTCGGATTGCCTACCTATGTGATTTTATGACTGATAGCTAGACAATTGAATACACCTATCGATTCTATACACTTTTTAACAGCAGAAGATCGTATCCAGACTATCCATTTACAACGTTTGTGATGGAATGCTAGACGCTCTAACTTTTAAATATTCTGCCAAAACGTCAAGCCTTATCTCCAATCCATATCACTAATCCTTATCAAAAATCCTAAACTTTCGTCTTACAACTGTCGCTACATTTATAATTCAGATGACTCTTACTCCAAAATCTGTACCCACTCTCAGCAAGTCCAACAGCCCCCGAGTTTCACTTAGAGCTAGTATAATAATAAATTATAAAATATTGTAACAAATGTATATTTAAAAAGGTGCTCTGCTGTACAGTAGGTTACAAGTGGGTCACTGTATGGATATTGGATGGCATTAAATTTGAATTCAATAATATAATATCATTGTATAAGTCTAGGTATAAGACATCCTATATACTTAACTATGGTATTAAAAAAAAATTGAAATATAATGGGTACCTATACTAAATTCAAAATTAATCATATCAGAATATCCATTAGGTACTTATAACGCGTTATACAACCACAACAAAATAACTAAAATAGTTATTCTAGGTTTTGAATATGTAATTTCGTCCAAATTTGAACTTAAAATGACGATAAAAATAAACTGTGCCAATGTAGTTTTTAGATTATTTGGTAACAGAATTAACTACTAACGTGGAATCTTGTTTTACATTTTCAATCCTTAGATATAAAAGTTAAACATTTTATAAATTTTTAACTACCTACAAAATAATTATTCAATTTTAAATTTGATAAATTTTGTAAAAATTTGATCTTTAAATGCATATAAAAAAAAATTGTGTCTATGTATTTTTAATATTTTTCAACGGATATTGTAACATTATATCAGGAGCCTTGTATTAAATTTTTACACCTTTTGGCCAAACAGATAAAACTTTATTGATATTTATAGAAAAAAAAATTAAAAAAATTGAAAACTGAAAATGTCCGTAAACAGCTTAAAAAGAGTCAAAATATTTTCAAAATTTCATAGTGTATAGGAAATGCTAATATAAGCATTCGGTGAATTTTTCATGTATCTACAGTCATTCGTTTTGAAATTACAACAAAATAAGGAAATCACTACACGAGAAATCGAATTAATATCCAATGTTGTAAAAATTTAACTTTCTTATAGACATTTTTTTTTGTTTGATAAAGTTAGATAACATTATAAGGAATCTTGTATTTCATTTTAAAATCTTTGATTTAAAAAGAAAAATTTTTAAGAATTCTTTACACAAAATAATTTGCTAATTTTCGTGATTTTTCCATATTTTGTCAAATTTTGAACTTTCAATGCTTATCAAAAAAAAAACTTTGTCTAAGGATTTTTAATATTTTTCATCTGCCTATGAAACAATTACTAGGAGTCTTCTATTAAATTGTCAAGCTTTTTTAACCAACAAATTAAATTTTATTGATATTTTTAGAAAAAAAACTAAAACAAAATTGAAAAAAAATGAAAATGTCCTTAAATAGTTCAAAACAAATCAAAATATTTTGAAAATGTTATTGTGTATAGAAAATTCAAATGTAAACAACCAATGAAAATTTCATGTATCTACAGTCATTTGTTTTAAAGTTACACCAAAAACCAAATTCAATTTTGTTAAAAATTGATTTTGCGTATAAATTCCCGTTTTTTCTTACTTTTTCTTTTCTTTTTTTTTTTTTATAAAATTTTGAAATTTACTGAGAATTTTAAATTTTGACCTCCCCAATGCGCCAACGATATTCTCTTTCCAATCGAACAAGATACTGAAGTTGAAAATTGAAGCATTATTTCGACTACTTATCTTGTACACACACAAATAAAATAAAAAAAATTAAAAATAAATACAAAAATTAAAAAATCACACATCATTGTAAAATCAATCGTTCCACTCAGAATTAAAAAAAATCCATATTGAATTAAAATCGTAAACATTTTTTGTTTGATAAAAAATCAATAAAAAATCCATTTTTTGTAAAAACAAATTTTTATCAAAAATATTTTTTTATTGATTTGAATTTTTTTCTTACAGATTTTTAATTGATTTTTTATCAAACAGAATTTTCTGAGCGGAGTGAGGAAGCAAGTGGTTTTACAATGGTGTTTATTTATTTTTTTTTTATATATCCTGTATACAAAATGTCTACTAGAAGTAGTGCTTCGATTTCAACATATAGTACCTTATCTTTTGGAAATTGTATCAAGATGGTACTTTAGAGAGGTCATTTTTCGATTTTATCAATACCTAGTTATTTAATGCTTCGGGGAAAACCACCGGAAAATTACGAAAAACTGCTTAAAATTGAATTTTAATTTCTAACGCTTTGTTTATTACCATAGAAACGAATAAAAAATAATAATATTATAAGATAAATTCAACTTATAATAATATGATATAATAACTAACAACAATATAAAATATCCAGACCGACAAACCGTCTCCGCTCAGAATCGTTTTTCTTATAGAATGATATTATATCATTGAATTCAAGTTTAATATAATCCATTATACAATGACCCACTTGTAACCGACTGTGAATCAGATAGACATCCACTTACCCCCTTTTTGATACTTCTGATACTTTTTTATACTTTGATTATTTATAAAAAAAATTATGCCTATATATCTCTAATACTAATATACTGCTATATATTAGCATCTTATGATTAACCTTGTATTACATTTTCTAGTTTTCACTGAGCCCAAATTTTTTAATCGGTAATTTATAGTTAAAAAACACTAATAATGGGAAATTTTTGTTTATCAATGGTTGCCATGGGTTTTTAAGCTATTATTATAATAATAAAACATATTAGATATATATATAACATAGTAGCATATAGAGTTGGCCTTTTTAATGTGCAACGAAATGCACTGGATCATTTAGTAAAAAATAAAATACACATATATAAAAATATATTATAATGTAGTATTTCCTAAGTTATCATAAGAAACTGTTTTACTACAGACAACTAGCTGCAGAATGCAGACGCAGATCGTGAAAAATGTACTCGAGCCGTAGTGTCGTGCGTTGTTCACACGTGCCGCTAAGCTCTCAGGGCGATTCCAATATATAAGAAATATTTTCTTCGTAATAATTATATTGTTACTAAATAAAAATATATACGGGTATTGCGTCGAGTACTCCTCTATGGTGTCGACAACCTCAAGGTCACGACGGCGCTAATTTTCTGAATATATGTAGAATGGGGAGTATTTAATTTTTCAATACAACATATTTAATAGTTATAATCGAGTTATTGAAAAAATCCGACAAGAGATAATAGTAAAAGTTCTGATCTTTTTAACGGCGTAAAAACATTTTCTTTACGAGTTATATGTAATGAACTACACAGTTTGGCGATGAACGTGCTTAGCTTATATTTTTAGTGGGTGTAGCTGCCTCTTAACATAATTTTATTTTCTGGATTTAAGGAAGATTGTATTTTATTTATGTGCTTATTTAAAGTGTGCAAGCCATGCTCAAAAATTGTATGGCCTAAATATTCAATTGAATTTTTAGAAAACTACATTTTTTTTGTTTAACCCTTAAAACGACTTCGAGTAAAATGTTAAGTAATTCTTTTAATCTATTGTGTTCTTCTACAGTTTTTTCTGCAACTATTATGTCATGTTAAAATATACCAATCCCTTCTAATTCTGCGTTTATATGTCCATGGCTTTTTGGAATTCCCCAGGTGAGCTTGTTATTCCGAACGGATTTCGAGTTTAACAGAATAGGCCTTTGTGAGTATTTATTGTATTGTATTTGCGATCACTCTCTTTAAATACCATTTGTTGATGTGCATCTTTGAGATCTATTTTAGAGAAATATTTTGAGCTACTTATATTAGCATTAAGATGTTCTATTTTTGGTAAGGGGTACTCAGCTCTTTCCAATACGGGGTTGATTGTAATTTTGAAATCTCCACAAATTCTAACTATACCGTCGGGTTTAACAATTGGAGTGGCCCATTCGCTGTTGTTCACGGGAGTTAAAGTGGTATTATCTATTAAACGATCAATTTCCGCTTTTATCTTAGATTTTAGTGGTAAAAGAATTGAACTTGGCTTGAAAAACTTGAGTATTGCCCCCTTTTTAATCTAGCGAAACCACAGCCGCCTACTGTGAGTTTCGCGACCGTGGACGCACGGTATAGATCGCGTCCCCAGGTTGCGGATAGGGGGAAGCCCGGTTCCCTCGGTAGCTTCCGAGTCGGGTAGCCGGCGAATAACTAATACCCGGCCGCGGACAGCTTCGATCAAATGACCCGTAGTTCCGGACAGTATGTCCTCTGGGCCGGTTCACGGTCGCCGGTTGGGCCACCGACCCAGCCGGTGGTGCTCTTAATACGAGTTGAGAGCACGGGCGCCGGAATTCGCTCCGTCCAGCAGCCGGGCGTCTCAGCGTAAGCCGGGTTCGGGCATGTCTCCGGGACACAGCGGTGAGTGTTGCGGGCCCGCGGCTGATGGCTCGTCTGCTTAGAGTCCCTAGTCGGTAGGCGAGGGTGGTCGTCGCAAATAGTCCCACCTTTGACCGAAAGGTAGGGCTGTCGTCAGTTTGGGCAGGGCGCCTCGGCTCGGCAGGCTTCCGGGTCGGGACGTTCGGCCAGACTGACCCAAAGAATGGGTCCTTGCTGATGGCGGTTCGAAAGGGTGGTGGCCAAGATTAATTTCGCACCTCGCGGACGCCCGTCCGAGGTTAAGGCAAACCAATACCCGTCTTGCCGGACAGAACTGGTAGCTTTCGAGGGGGTGAGAGTCTGACTGAAGACGCTTCAGTACCACGGGAGTGAGTGGGGCCCCGTCGGCAACGACGCCGCTCACCGCGGGCGTCCAGTGATGGTTCACGCCCCTGGACGTCCGTTGCCGGTAGGAATTGTGGTGGCGGTTTTCTTACGAATACTTTGTGGTTAAGTCAATAGATGCTTATTCTAAGTTCTCGCTGACAGGCGAAAACCTCTGATGAACGGCCGCCACTACCCGGGGGCGCGAGTCACCGGTTCGTTGTCGGTTCCTCTCGGGCGTCTAGCCGCTATACCGGTGTAGTATCATCGGAGGTTGAGTGTAACCAGAAACACTCGGTGTGGGGATAGCACACAGCCAGACCAGGCGAATTCAGGCGGCACTTGGCCTGTCTTCTTGGTACGGGACCTCGGTTCCGGTGCTCGTGGTCCGTAGACGACGCGCGGTCGACGGACTGGGCCACCGTACGTCGACCGTGAACCTCCGCGGCCCTCGACTAGCACACAGCGCTAATGTGAGGTCCGCGGTTGTAGCCGCAAGGCGCCAAAACCCGGGAGCCTTCGTGTCCTCCGTTTTTTATTACGTAAATACACATTTTAAAAGACTCAAATATTTAGCATTAGCTATCGTTTTTCCTATTGGGCTTATATCATTTCCGACGTAATCGCTTAGTGAAATATCGTTTGGCAATAAAGTTAAATTATTAAAACTTGTATCATATAATTGTTTCGACATTACACTATGTATAGCTCCCGTATCTATTTCAAATTTTAAATCTTTGTTTTCAATTGATAATGTATTGTTTTTCTTTATTTTCAAAGTTATTTTTAATCATATTGGAAAAAGTGTCAGATAAATATTACGCGATTGCGTCATCATGAATATTTTCATTCGAGCTATTACCTGAATTTTCGGATAAAAACTTATTATGTGAGTGGTTACTGTACTTTGGCTTATTATTCTTACTTTTAAGCATAGGAGCCACATTTTAAAAATATTTTAATTTAATACGAGATGAGTTTAAAAATTTTCCTCGTCGCAAATTTGTTGAGTCGTTTCTTTAATGTGAATGCAATGATTAACCGTTAATCACTATAATTGAAGTTTATAGATATAAATGATTATAATGTATTTATTGTGAAAACAGCATAAGTAAAACTGAGTATCGTGGGAGGCATACACGTCATGTATGGTAGGTCAGTCCCCAACCATATAAATAAACATTATTTAATACGTAACATTAATAATAACGTTGTTGCTTTTCGGGCGGCAACACTACCTATTTATCGTGTACTTATACACACAAAAAAAATTATATAATATTGTAATTAATATGATACTCTTGTATTTATTGTATTCGAAAAATATATGTATTTAATGTTATAAAAATATAAAAGTTTTGGTCAAGATGTCAAGTTTGATGTAATATTTTGAATATATTAATTGGTTTTGAGGTGTACATTTTTTTAACAATTTAACATTAAAATCTACTTAATATGTAGTTATATTTATTTTCCGTTATTTGATAAAAGTTAACATATTTAAAATACATAATTTTTTTTTTTTTAGAACTAAAACTGAAGAAGAAAGAAACACAATTGACACGAAAATTAAAGTAGAAAGAGATTTCGTTGACCATTATGAATATCAAGGAACATCAATTTTAACTGAAAGCAACTTTTCAGAATTTGCAAATTTGGACTTGACATCTAACCGCTCAACGAAAAATCAATTGACTGATAACCGTGGTAAAATATCTACAGCACTCAATTTAACTGTGGATACAATAACACACACGTATATATGTGCTATTTGTGATAGATCTTTTTCTCGGAAAAAAAATTTAAGATCCCATATAGCCACACATTCCAACACAAATCCGTATACATGTAACATCTGTAATACAGGGTTTTCAAGGAAAAGTAATTTAACAGTGCATACAAGGAAACATACAGGCGAAAAGCCATTTAAATGTTATATATGTGATAAATTATTTTCTCAATCAAGCAATTTAAGAACACATATGAGGGTACATACCGGAGTAAAAACATATATCTGTGATATCTGTAAACGTCCTTTTTCTCACAAACCAAGTTTAAGAAGGCATTTAATAACTCATACTGGTATAAGGCCATATAAATGCAAACTCTGTGAAAAAGCCTTTTTTCAGAAATCTCAATTAATAGCGCATATAAGGACTCATACCGGCGAAAAGTATGAATGTAATATCTGCAAAAAAGCCTATAGTCATGCATGTTCTTTAACAGTACATAAAAGGACACATACCAGAATAGACTCGTATAAATCTGACATCGGTGGTAAACTTTTTTCTGGAGCAAAAAGTTTAACAAGGCAAACGCAGGCATGTACTTGCGATATCTGTGGAAAAACTTTTTCTTCGAAAAGTAATTTAACGGCACATAAAAGGAGGGGTTCCTATAAATTCACACATTCTAAATTGCCATATACATGTAACATCTGTAATACAGTGTATTTTCATAAATGTCATTTAACAGTACATACAAGGAAACAAACCGCTGAACCGCCATTTAAATGTTATATCTGTGATCGATTATTTTCTCAATCAAACAATCTAAGAAGGCATATAAAGATGCATACCGGAGAAAACAAATCTAAATGTAATATCTGCGATAAACTGCTTTCTAGATCTAGTTTAGCAGATCATGCTAAGATTCATGCCGGAGTAAAAACATATAAATGTGATATCTGTAATAGTGCTTTTTTTCAAAAACAAGGTTTAAGGAGGCATGTGAAAACACATACTGGTAGAGCTGTATAAATGTGATATTTGTGACACATTTTTTTTCAATAAAAAATATTTAAAAAGCCATAAAATGACACACCTGTAAAAGACTTTGAAAATACCACTTATTGAAGACACATAAAATTATTTATTATTCATTATTTCTGAACTTTTAATTCTAATAAACCTGGACTTAAATTGTCTCATAGTAATGTTAATGAAAATCCACGTTTCCTCTACTTTCAAATTCATTTTAATACCGAAAAAATGAATTCTCATTTATCTAGCTAAAAACCCTTATCTAAAAAAAGAAGCTGATGTTGCGAATGCTTTGTTAACCTATTAAAATCATATTTTTCTGATACAAATAATATAAACACATTAAATTTACCTAACATTAAATATCCCATAAATATCCTAGACCATAATTTTTCAATTAACATAGACAAAATGGATATATTTAATGATATATGAAATATTTATCTAAAAACATCACCAGGCACTGAAAATATTTCTGCAATTTTCTTAAATAAATGTGTTTATCTTAACACTGGTTTTAAATTTGATATTTAATTAATCTCTTCATACTAGTATATTCCCAAATAAATGGAAAACCTCATTGATATCTCCCATCCCTAGAAATACTGTCTTAAATTCTCCTAAAATGTCCAAATTAGCAAATAAAACCTAAGCTATTCTCGAAAGGTATAAATAAAAAACTAACTCCTTTATGTGAAAACACTACAGTAAATGAACAGGCTTTCGTACAGGTCAATTTACAATTACCAATATACTAGTTTAAACAATATTATATATTTCCCAAACTGATAGAATGTAGGTACTTTAAAGTAAACTCGCACAACTTTAGAGATAAACAAGGATTTTATACAATAAATATATCGACTAAAGATATGTCATTCTCCCCTTCGAATATTTTAATGTCTCTAGACAACTAAATAACATAGATTTATTTTATTCTTTTATATTATATTTCATACGATACGTCATGTACTTGCAAATTGATTTATGTATAATCATAATTATTTTTTTTTCTTTGATTATTTATGTAATTTCATTATTTAAAATGCCATTTGAATTTATTGTGAAGTAAATAATATTATTATAATTATTATTACTATTATTCAAATAAAAAAATAATCTAAACTAAGTTATGTTTATGTTTAATTTTAGTTATTACAAATAAAAATTGTATATAATTATGAAAAATAAGTTAATTATGTTTTTTACATGACATTTCTGAAACGAATTGTCGAGGTCGTTACCCAACATGCGGGTACCGCCCGCGACGTGCGCTCTACTCGGCCGGTCGCTGGTACGCGCGATCCGGGTTGGAGTAGGGACGGCAGTGTCGACCGACGTCTGTATCTACGGCGCGGCGGGACGTTCTCTTTAACCTCATGTCCGCGTACTAAGAGTCGTCTCGTTATTTTTACGTAGTACCGTTTATATATTGTGCTGAATAAATATATAATACTTAAATAGTACCGCTGTAAGTGTTTTCATTAATATATAACCCACGGGGTTACCAATACGATTACCAGTTTTACCATCACGCAGATTGCTTCCGTGTCCTTTGGCGCAGTCGGAAAAAAGATACAGAACCACGAGGTCCGAGACAGGTAAGAAATTTAAATTACGTGTTCAAAACCTCAAAAAGAAAAAAAAACACAGGGAATATACCCTCCTTACATAACTACTATAGCAAGGCGAAATCAAGAGTAGTAGGTAGGATCTCCACGTGTTAGTACACGATGCAATCTGGTCAGAACACTATCAACGAACTGACAATCGGGGAACCCAAGGGGGAACTAACCATAAGAGGGTTAGGAACCATGGGTACGAAGTCAGTACTGTTCCCAATCCAGTTGAAAAGTACAATGGTCACCACAAGTATCACCAATGTAATCACGTCAACGTCGTGCACCAACACCAATACCAGAGGACAAAAACCACCCACACCCGGACACTGGGAAAACCAGAACCACGGAGTGGGATTCCCCAACAATGACATCACAAGAAACAACGGCCCATATACCGTAACATACGGGGAAAACCCTACTGAAAGGGATAATACTTATCAAACAATGATACGGGACCGGCCGGAGGAGTCAAACTTACTACCACGCGAAAACCTGCAAGCAGCAAAAGACGCTCTTCCCGAATATTCAGGGAAAAAAGAGGAGGACCCCACACGCTTCCTTAACACAACAAGGGACGTGCTCTTAGAAGCAAAAATACCCCGACAACGATGGGTAAAAGTACTGGCTCCACAACTCAAAGGAGACTTTGAGTCCCAACTCATGGTGGGGGAGAATAAGAGCGATCGGCCCCACATGGGAAGAATTCCACAAAGAATTCACCAACAAGTTCAACGGACCACAAGTCAAAGCGAAACTGCACACAGAATTGATGGGGTGGAAACAATACTATGGACAAGCTACGGGGGACTTTGTGTTACAAAAAATTCAGCTTTTCCGAAGACTGAACACTGGACCAGACGAGGAAAATGCAGTGGAGACCATCATACAACTAATGAAACCAGAACATCAGAACCCAATCAATACTGGTGCAAAAACCAAAAACGTTTATGGACCTCAACGAAGCAACATTCACGGTGACAGACCAAGTTAGGGAAAATCCCTAACTGAGAAAACACACCGACAAGCTGGTAGGCCCAGACACAAGGTAAGCAACTGGGTCTACTACCGGAACCACCCACAATCCAAGGGGGACCAAGGCTTTCACGCACGCTTCGCCCTAAAATGGCTTTGACCAATTAGGCTGAAGAGGTACCTGGGAGGCGGGGTATTCACCACCGAAACTAACCCGGAGCACAAACTACATAGTTCGTGCTTTAAGCGCACGCCAACTACGAGAGAACCCAATAATGACCCCATTACTATTACAGATGGCAGGCCACAATCCCCAGCGGGTGGACCTGGGGAGACGGTTCAACCTCACCAATTCGGACTACCGACCCGGCAGGTCAACGGTGGCCGACATCGTCCAGGAGTTGCTGGACGGCGCAGCATCAAATTTATTAATGGCCAGGCGCTTGGCCGGACGGGCCGCGGGAATCCCCACGTGGGAGGAACTAAGGACTGGACAGACAAGGAACCACCGCGACCGGCCCAGTACCAGGAGTATGCAGACCCAGACCACAGGGTCAGAGGAGATCGGAGGCACCGTGACGTCACGAGGGACGCAGACCGATCCACCCACAACTCCCGTACCAGGACATGTGGGGAGGTGGGCCACATCGGCACCTGCCTCGGAACTGGTGACGCACGAAGCGTAATTGAATACCACCTTTTTTTAAGGAAATAAGTCAGTGGAGGGTTTCCTCCTAGGTACTACTATTAAATATAAAATAAAAAGCTGTTAAGTGGGTGTCACTCTATTGTACAGTAGGTCATAAGTGACAAATTGAATCCAACCTTTATTTTTAGAGGAAAATGGTTAGTTGAGTAAAACGGTATCCCACATTTTTAGGAAAATGGACCCTGTGAGGATTTGATAGTTTTGTGGACTACCAAAAACCACCCACAACCGAAGGGGAACACTTCGGTCGTGACCTGTGAGCCGCACCGCGTGAGACCCGAGGGTCAAGTCGGTGGAGCTCACAGGCTTTGTACACACATGGGGTAATGAAACCCTCAAGATTTATGTTGGGAAAACAAGAAATTACTAATAATAAGTTAAGATTAGATTAGGTTGATGTATTTTACATGGACGTACAAATAATTAATTAATTAACAACATTGTCATTTTTTTTATAGGATATAGTAAACAGTATAAGGGGACGTATGGCAAACGCACAAAATAAATATGGTGGCACATGGCAAATATAATAAAATGCAGGGAAAGAGAGAGAAAAAAAACATAATTAGGATATTATAATATTATTAATTTACATATTGTTTGGGGTCAACGTCACCTGGCCCGGTCAGCGCCAGAGCAAGGCGGTCGGCGACCGGCCTGTGCCGTCTAAGCACGTTTTTTTAAAAGGTGGTCTATTAGGTTCAATTTCTACTAACGGGGGGAATAAAGGGGAGTATTGATACGTTACGACGTGGATAGCTCTTGTGGTACTCCGCAGATATGGGTGGGCTGGCTGGACGCCACCGACGCACACGTGGTCGGCATGGCCCACCTGGTCGTTGGAGAACAATTTTACGTAGTTGAGCCGAGGTAATGCTGTCTCAGGTGTTGAGGCCCCCACAGCCTGTTGGTGAAACGTTAGCCCATCATTGTATGGTTGCACACCAAGATACAAGAAATGAAGTTGAAAATGTCACGTTCAAATGGTTTTTTGACGGAGCGCAGGATACAATTTTGCTGGAACGTGAAGACAAAAACGTACGTCGTGTTGCTTCAGAGGTCGGTGAAAAGGCGAGTGAGTACGGGTGAGACGCAGTGTTCCGTGGGCCGCAACGGTCGATGTTGTTTGAAAATCCAGCGAAGTGGGGCAGAGCAGTGTAGGTTGTTGGGGGGGGAATATACAATAATTTGAGGGAATATCAGTCCAGACTGCCCTGCCGGCGCACACCGGCAGACACGACAGACGCGCCCAGCGGCACCGACCGACGGCCAGCAACGGCCGTTGGCGACGGGACACTGCAGATGGTGGGGATTGGGGGATTGGTGTTTATATAATATTGGTCGATTCACTGTAGAAGCCGCGCGCGGGTTAATTGATATTTTATGAAAGAGAAATATAAATGGTTTATGACATGGGGACAATATTAATATGGTGTCTAAATTCTGTGACCTTACATAACCCCCCCAACAAGTTGTTGAAGTTGTTACATAAGTCGGAACTGAGAACCACTTGTTGTAAAAAGAGAGGAGCTGAATTTTGGGGACCATAGACATATAACAATTTACTAAAGGGAATTAACTGATTTAAATAGGCCACTATATTACTAACGGGGAACCATATAATAAGGAGAAACCTAATCGGGGAAGGGAGAGGGGACTCTGAGACAGTCTATGCCTTTTCTGGGGTCACGACTGTAACAGGTACGACCATATTATGGGGACTTAATATGGAAGGGAGAAGACAAAAAAAATAAAAATAAAACTATTGTGTGCAGGCAAGATAACACGGACCTTGCACTGCGTACGTAACTCTGGACATTTTAATTTAACACACATGGCAAGCCATGGTGGGACCTAACATTATTAAGGGGGGCTATCAAGAATGTTCCTGCATGTTGTGGTGAAAGAGCGGTCAAGAGGCGGGGTCTGGTGGCTCCTTTACCCCCTTGCGGGAAGTCACCCTCCAGATCATTGAGCCGCGGGTCAATGGTGGTAAGTGTGGCCCGGGGCCCCCTACTTAAACGCGCACAGGGACAGCTGGTTTTTACGCCAGCCGTATGTGAACGCGTAGGAGACTGACCGCTAGGCCCCAATGGCAACCACACTCGGCCGACCAAGCCCGGACCCTCACTGGGATGGAGCGTCACCACAACACCGGTTAAATTAAAAAGAAGAGTGTCGCAGACTCTTTGCCGGCCAGGGAGCAATATCCCTGTGCGACGGGGGCCCTACCGAGCTGGGGGGACAACGAATCTGAAAGAAACAATATGAGAGACAGAAAAAAGGCGGGGTAGTAAGGGGAGAAAGGGGGGGACCACGCGGAAGTAAACGAATTAAATGACCCGGGCCTACGAGAGCTTTATTTTACCAAAATTTTTGGTACCACGAATAAACGTGGAGCGAGGCTCATACCCAGTAGTGGTCCCGTGTTAGGCAGGACACACCAGGTTTAACCCCCTATTTAACAGGGATGACCCAGGCCTTCCCATAAAGACCGGTTACATAAGTTGTTATAAAATATTACATATTCTCATTTAATCAATAAACCATTTCCCTCTAGGGTGGTGTTACCATGGTGGGTGGTTTGTACGGCTTTAGGTGAACAATATTATGGGTACCTCGTGGCGTGTCATCCTCCGGACCAACTAATTCATAAGCATTTACAGTCTTAATACTTTTAATTTTATAAGGACTATCATATAGAAGGAAAAATTTTGAGATTTTTTTGTCAATTTGACTACTTAATCGGTGTGTTTTTACAAGAATGAGATCATTAATTTTAAAAAGGGGAGCATTAATTGTTTTATCATGACGTTTTTTACGGGCTTCGGATTTTGTTAATTGTATTTCATGGGCTAGGGTTAATTGATGTTTATAATTTGGGGGAAAATCATTATTAGGAAAGTGTATAAATTGTGAAAGGGGGTTGTGTGGTACATTTCTGAGGAAAAGTTCTGAGGGAGAGTGGGCAGTGGACTCGTGATAGACGTTATTTAATGTCCACTCAATGTACGGAACGTACTGGGGCCAGTTAGAGTGCTTGGAGTGACAATAGGTCCTAAACATACGGCCAAGGTCTCTCATAACTCTTTCCGCAGGGTTAGACTGTGGGTGGTAGATACTAGTATGAGTGACCTGAATTTTGTACTTCTTCAATGTAGTTTGCCAATGTTGGCTGATGAACTGCCGACCGTGATCAGAGACAATATTTTTAGGAATACCATAGGTAGGAAAATAATCGGTAGTCAATTTTTTAATACAAATTTTGGCGTTGGCCTTTCGGAGGGGATATAGTTTGACGAACCGAGTGAAATTATCCATGACGACGAAGATATATGTGAATTGAAACATTCCAGTGGGAAGGGGACCATAAAAATCGACCAGTACTTTATCTAGTGGTCTGGTAGAGAGTATCGGCTGCATGGGACCGGCAGTGCGAATGGTTTTGGGTTTACACCTCTGACACAGACCACACTCCTGAACTATGTGGCGGACAGTCCTACTGAGAGAGGGGAAATAACAGATGTTCTTTATAGCTTGGGTGGTTTTACGGGGGCTGACGTGAGCATAATACTCGTGAAATAATAAAACAATTTGTTTGACCAGGTGGTCAGGGATGTAAAGGGCCCAATTTTTTGCCTTTTTATATTTGCTTGTGAATAAAACTTGATTTTTTAAAGTGTAATATTGTAGCCAGGATGTTGAAGAATTCAGTTTAATTGTAGAAATAATTTTTTGTATTCGGGGATCTTTAATTTGCTCATGAGAAATGTTGTTGAACAAAGGAATGATATCTGGAGGTATTGGGGGAGGGAGAGTGTAATGTAATATGATAGGGATACCGAGAGGGTGTCTTGATAGGGTATCGACAGGATTCTCTTTGCCAGGGCAGTGATGTATTTTGAGGTCGAATTCCTGTAGAGCAAGGGTCCACCTAGTGAGACGAGAGTTTTTTAATTTACATGAGAAAAGGAAAATAAGAGCTTTATGGTCGGTATACAAATTGATCTGATGGCCTAAAATGTAAATTTTGAATTTCTGACAGGCAAATAATATCCCTAACAGCTCCAGTTCGGTTACGGTATAGTTGCGCTCAGCACTGTGTAAAGACCTACTTGTGAATGAGAGGGTATTACGTTGACCACTGGGGTCTAGCTGGAAAAGTTCCGCACCGAGACCTATGTAAGAGGCATCAGTTTGGATACAGAATGGTTCATTAAAATTGGGATGGGTAAGGGAAATTTGTGTAGCGAAAGCGGTTTTTATTTTTGGGAATCTATTCTATTTTGTTCAGTGAACGTCCAGGGGGTGTCTTTGCGGATTAAATGAGAGAGAGGGTGTAAGAGGGAGGAATGATTTTGGGAGAATTTGCGATAGAAATTGCAGAAGCCAAAAAAAGACTGAAGGTCCTTCTTGTTACGGGGTTCGGGAAAATTTTGTAATGCCTTAATTTTGTCGGGGTCCATAACCGTACCATGAGAAGATATAAAGTGTCCTAAAAATTTGATTTGCTGTTTATTAAAATAACATTTTTTAAATTTAAGAGTTAGGCCTGCCTGGGTTATTTTATGGAAGATCCATTCTAACGTTTCAATATGGTTTTCAAAAGAAGAGGAGGAAACCAAAATATCGTCCACATATGTGTGTATGTCATTGGAGTGGGGACAAGGTATAGAATAATTATTTAACGCAGCTTCGAGCCCTTTACTAAAAGCAGCATTCGATATATTAAGATCAAAAGGTACAACACAAAATTGATAGGAACGCCCCTCATAAAGGAAACTGGTGTATTGTCGAACGGAAAGATCAAGAGGGATTTGCCAATATCCTGAAGAAAAATCGAGTGAGGAGAAAAAAGATTTGTTATTAAATTTTGCAAGAATTTCATCAATGGGTGGGGAGCGTCTCGTGTGGGTAAGATAATAGTGTTCAACTTTCGGACATCTAAGCACAAGCGAATAGAGCCGTCAGCTTTAACAACTGTTACTAGTGGGTTACTATAGGAGGAGTCTGACCTCTCAATCACCCCCCATTGAATCATTTTGTTTATTTCCCTTTCTACCACGGGACGACGAGAGAACGGGACGGGATAAGGTTTAATTTTATAAGGTTCATGTGGTCTAATGTTAAATTTGTAAGAGAAAAATTTGTGGAGGCCAGGTTTATCTTGAAAAATTTGTTGATTTTGTTGAAGAAGGGAAAATATTAAACTTTGCTGAGAATCATCAAGTGTTATATCATTACAACAATATTTTTTTCATTTTCAAACGGGAGGGGTTGCTGTTTTAAACTGGAAAGGGGTTCATACATATTAAGATGGTGATCATTTAAATTAAGACTGTTAAGTGAGTTTACAAGGCTACTGGGGTCGTGGTCCGCAATTAGTTTAAAAGGTATTTCATCATTAGTAGTAGAGAGGGAAATTATTTTTTGCTTATAGTCTATGGTTACCTCATTTTCTAACAGCCAGTCTGTCCCAAGAATGAGAGGGGTAGAGAGCAAGGGAACGACTAAAAAGATTAGTCCATCGTGCCAAACTTTGTCAAAAGCTTTTTCCATGTCTAGGAATATGGCTGCGGTGTGTCTGTTGTTGTTAGTATTGATTACCAGATCGTCTATGAGTTTAGAAAGTTGGGTTGTCGTCGAATGACCATGTCTGAACGCATGTTGTTCAGCTCTCGGCTTGATGTGTTTCGTGAGGAGATTTTGAAGCACCTTCTCGAATACTTTGGACATTGTAGTAAGTAATGATATTGGCCTATAGTTATTGGCTAAACTGTGATCTTTGTAGGGTTTGGGGATCATAACTATTGAAGCAGTTTTCCAAGGTTTAGGAAAATGAGAATGCCTGAGGCAAGCAGTGAAAATATTATTTAAACTAACAACAGCAGAGGCTGGGAGGTTTTTGAGTGCAGCATTTGGTATGTTGTCGCAGCCTGGAGCTTTGCCGGTTGGTAAATTTTTTATTATTTCCCATATTTCCTTGGGGGAAGAGAATAGAGTTGATTTGGTTGTATTTCTATTGAGCTCTTCAATTGAGTATGTGACTTCTGGGAGGTCGGTCTCTGGTTGAGAGTGAACTGCTCTTTCATTGTGTCGGCAAATAGTTCTAGTTTGGATTTGGTATCATAGAATTTTTGGCCAGAGATAGATTTCAATGGAGCAATTGCTGGTTTTTTGTGGAGTAGACGACGATTTAATTTATAAAGGGAACGGTCTTGGAAGTTGAGTGTGCTTGTGAATTTGTCCCATGTTGATTGGCGGTGTTCCTTCAGGAGGTTTCTGACGTACTATATTTGAGAATTTAGCATAGTCTTGACTGCTAGGTTTCTTGTACGTTGCCAGTCTTTCCTAAGGTTCCGTTTGATGGTGATCTCTTGTAAAATCCTGGATGGGAGGGGCTCAGAGACTTGGGTTTGGTTTGCAGTATAAGAACATTCCGTCATTGCTGATTGGATTGATGATATAATGAGTAGGACCTTGTTATCAATTTCTGAAGGATTTTTCAAGTTGATTATCTTTTTAGGATAATTATGCAGTAGTACTTGTTTGAATTTTTGCCAGTTTATCCTCTTCTTGGCTGCTGGAGGGTTGCTTGTTATGGGAGAGTCGCTTATGGTCATTACAATCGGATTGTGATCAGAGGTTAGCTCGTTATGGTTGGTTAGGGTGAGTTCGCTATAGGGAAGGTTTGCAAGTGCGATGTCCAATATTTCAGGCCTGTGTTGTGGATTGTAAGAGTGATGTGTTGGAGAGTCTGGTGCGCAGATTGAGTAGGTGTTGTACGATTCCATGTGCTGTAGGAGAGTTTTGCCTGCCTGGTTTGTGGTGCGGCAGTTCCAGGACTGGTTTTTTGCATTTAAGTCTCCTGCCGCTAAAAAGAGGCCTCCGTGGTTGGTTATGATGTCCAGATCGTTTGTTTGTAAAGGAGTATTTGGGCTTTTGTACATAGATGTGATACGAATTTGTTCACTGCCGAGCTTGATCGTAACTGTGGTTGAGTCTAGAGTAGTATTCAAGACTTCATGGTTATGTACTATGTTCTTACGTATAAGTATGGCAGTGCCACCAGCTGGTGGAGATCTGGTCTGAGTGGGCGATCTTGTCTGTAGGTGAAGTAATTTGGTATTTTGAGAATTTTTGATGGATTTAATCTAGTTTCTTGTAAGAGGATGATGTGGATGTTGTTTAGTCGTGCGAATACTTGTAGTTCATTGGTTTTATGTTTTATACCATTGCAGTTCCAAAAAAGAATATTTAAGTTAATTGATATTTTATGAAAGAGAAATATAAATGGTTTATGACATGGGGACAATATTAATATGGTGTCTAAATTCTGTGACCTTACAACCCACCCAGGTAGTTAGGTCTCATTATATTGAACTGGTATTTACTTTGGCACTAAGCAACCTATATTAAGGTATGTGCAGTGTTGGGTAAATTACTTTTAAAAAGTAATTATGTTACTTGACACGTTACTTTAATAAAATTGAAATGAAATTACTTTATTTTTCTAATGTAATAAAAGAAACTTATTATTTTAATTTCTAAGTCATTCTACAAGAAAACTAACTAAATAAATACACTACCAATAGTAAAAATGTATAACAATTTGAAAAAGATTTACAAAACCTGGTAAGTAGATGTCGTTCTGCTGAGGCGCTTTTCTCCCGAAGACTTGTTCACAGGGAGTACGGGCCTAGCGTTAGGTGATGACGAATCCGTTATTATACCAGCCGCTTTAAAGTCGCGTAACATGTCAGCAATTATACGGCGATCGGTAGGGGATGTACCATACTGCTTAAAAGTTACCGGCGTACTGCCCGGTGTCTCGGAGATATCCATAGAGATAGCGTTCGTGCAACCGAGCTCCATGATGTTTTTGACGAAAACGTCGCGGTGTTCGTTAAGCAATCCAACCAGTGATCTTCTTTGAACATCGGTAAAATCGGCACCGAACTTGACGTCGTCGGCGGTTATGGGCTCCTTCGGCGGGCGGACCGGTTCTGATTCGGCAACAAAAACATTTTTGGAGCTTGTCTCGGCTAGTGCGTCAGCTGTTACGCAGCTGGTAGTCTCGAACACAATTTCCCCGGATTGCTTATAATAGTTGACGTGTGGTAGGTCGAGCCACGTACGACCGACCAACACGTCAACGGGTAGCGAGTTATCTGGTACGACCTTTAGCGTATGGTCGGCTGCCAGCACGTTGTCAATGGTGACATCGGCGTCACATTCACAAATTGTCATGGTACTTGGTGCGTTGGCGTTCCCCACGGTGAAGAGCGGGCACACGGTGTCCCGTACGATCAATCCGCACTCACGGGCAAACGAGGATCGAATCAATACTGCCGAACTTCAAGTGTCAATCAGCCCGTCAACGGGTCGTCCATTTACATATACGGTTTTGATAAAGGGATTTCTCGATGTCCCACTCGCGGTTATCGCGTCGGCACGATATGCTTGGTCCAGCAGGAGCGGTGACGGAGTCGTCGGTAGCGACGGTCGGGCAACGTTTGACTGGAGGCCGGTTCGAATTGCAATTTGTGCACTTCATCGGGCGTTTCGGTTTTGGGCAATCACGCGAAATATGCCCCTGACTACGGCAGTTGTATCAATAGAACGTGGCTTGACTCGATGACATTTCTGAACTCGGCGGACGTGTTGCGACTGCCGTGTCGGTCGACGTTTTCGGGTGTGAGGTGACGACTTTGTTTGACACGTAGTTTGTCGGTTCGGCAGGAGGTTTCGATTTCGGCTGTCGTAGTTTGGCAGTCAACGTGTTTGCAGAGTCGAACTTCTCATTGCGTTGATTACCATTCACGTATGTCGCCTAAAATTTCGTCAATATCGGTCTGACGTCGCCCGAACACACAGTCGGACTGTTGTTGGGATCTGAGGCTTTCTAATACATAATCGTGCGTTTCACCAAAGGTCAAGTCTAATGATCGACACAAACCAACCTTTGAGTAGAAATAGTCAATCGTTGGTTCACCCGGCGCTTGAATGCGGGCTTCCAGTTCACGCCACAAATCAGCTTTTCGTAAGGTTCGTACGAATGCTCTTCGGAAGCCTTTGAGGAAATCTTCCCACGCGTGGAAGTCCTGCATCAGACACCAACTGCGTGCGGCACTGGAGAGGTGCGAGCGGACGTACAACAACCGGTGACGCAAAGGCCACTGATTTACCTTCGCTAGACCGTCCACAGAGCTCACCCAGTCTTCAGCCTGCGCGCTGGACTCGTGGCCAGTGAAGGTCCAAATCGCGGTCTCTACGTCTGGAAGGATCCGGTAGTCGACGGTTGGCGTCGGTACGGTTTCGGTTTTAGGGTACGAAGATTCGAGAAGGCAGAGGTTAGCGCGTAACTCAGTGACGGCATTAAATAAGTCTGAGTATTTTGGAGCCTTTAGGTTGTCCGTCGACGGTGGACTAGTCTCGTCGCTCATGACGATTCAAAATTTCTAATTGATTACAAGTTACGGTGAGCGTAAACAAAACGATCGGTACACGCTGATAAGGGAAGATAACGGCGATTGGTACCGTGGTAATAGCGGAACGATTACCCGTTATCGGGTCGGCAGTAAACGGCCCGATAACCAACGGACGTGATCACGCACACCACGTGTCGGGGAAAACCCCACGGCACACAGAACAGTAGAACACGGAAACGCGAATACTCTCGTGAATTTCGTTACGGGGCGTTTGTGGGGTAACGGAAAAAAAAAACAAATCAACGTAACGGCGAACGCACTATAACTAAACAAAAAAAAATGATCGCGGCGAGCACGCGGAACACACAGGTGGATAGACTCTTACAAGGGAAGAATCATTATCCCACTTCTGAGTTGAAAAGAAAATTAAAAGAGGTGGTGTCAGGATAATAAATCTAATCAACAACGTTTGAGTTAATTTACAATGAGTATGGTTTATTTAATAAAACTATAATAACACACGACGGCTTAGAGCTAACGGCTTAGAGCTACGGCAGTTCGGTGCGCGGGCACACATGTCGTGCCCGGCGAATACGGCGAAACAGGAAGCAGCGGTGTACTCACTGCTCGGAGACGGTCTGGAAGGGCCGTCCGACAGTGTTGCCGCGTTAGGCAAAAAGTAGCTAACAGTGTAAAAAACAAAATACTAGAGTTCTCAAATTTAATCGGTTACACCTACACGTCTGATTTAATTACTTCTAAAATTATTGACGTTCTTACTAAATTCGGATTAAAGCAAAAAATTGGTGCCTTATCGGCTGATAACACTAATTTTGGTGGATTAAATAGAAAAGGAAAAAATAACGTGCACACAAAACTTCAGACAGAATTAAAAAAAGATATAATTTTATTAGATTGCAACGCTCATATCTTACATAACGCTGTACAAATCGCGTCAGATAATTTACCTATTGAGTATTACAGAAACTATTACAGTTAAACTTTTTGGATTTTCCACATTTTACGGTGCGGGTAGAAAAATTAAAAGAATTTTGCGATTTTGCTGATGTCCAATACCGTGGTATTTTATCACATGCCAAAACTCGATGGCTCAATCCTGCAATTGACAGAATTATTTTAATGTTTGATGGCTAAAGTCGTATTTTCTAAGATTAGAGTCCTTAGATATTGGTTGACTATTTTCAAAACGTCACTGCTCTATTATATATGAAATTTATACAAAGTATGCTTAAACTGTTCAATAACTATATTCATAAAATTGAAGGGGAAAAAATGTCGGCATTTGAATTAATTGATATATTAAACAGTTTATTAAATAACTTAAAAAACAGAAAGAATGAACATTCTATATTATATCTATATTTATACCTAAAAGTTATATACAAATACCTATGTAATTATATACTTACTAGATAATTACCTATTTTTTATGAATTTTTTTATCCCGGATTTCCAAAAAGTAAGTCATCAAAATCATGTTGATGACTTTTAATTTTTTTTTCTTTGATCCTATTAAACATTTGTTTCATACTTCATCGACTTTATTTTGGATTATTTTGTTTATACCGTAAATTTTAAAATTTTTACGTAAATGTGCAAATTATTTTGAGTTAGAAATCCATAAAAATTTTTTTTTTCAATCTAAGATATGAAAATGTAATACAAGATTCCTCATAAGTTTGTCTTTGGCAACTGCCTTATTTTTCTTTGCAAATTTGCAAGTCGTAACAAACTGAAATGTTTTAATATTTTTAACTTTTATTTTAGATTTCAAAAGTAATGATGGACGTACCTATTGATCTTACAATGATGTGTGTTTTTTGCTGCCTGTCATTAATTTTTAGGGTAATAAAAATAAAAATGCTCTGTTTTTTACTTCATCATCTTTTCCTGATATGAATGTGAATCTAGTTATGGTGTACTTAAGAAGTCAAAATTGATTTTATTTTATTTGAGTCAGGGCTTTTGATTGGCTTGCATTTGAAAAAAAATCCGTTTTACGTTATTTACAATTAAATCGTTACACAATGTTTGCGTTTATCGTTATTCAGAATTAAAACGTTACCCAATTTTTCCGTTTATCGTTATTCAGAATTAAAACGTTACCCAATTTTTATTTTTATCGTTATTCAGAACTATAACGTTATCCAAGTTTTGCGTTTATCGTTATTCAGAATTAAAATGTTATCCTAGTTTTGCATTTATCGTTATTTAGAATAAACTTTAACCACGTTTATTATACAATCTACTGCATTTAAGGTATTTTTGCTAAGGAAACAAAAAAATCGCCTTAAAATAACGAATACTTTGATAAAATAAACTCATTTTTTAAATTTTGTTTTTACTGCCTTTTGACTTAGGAGGGCAGTATAGACCTGTTCTATTTCCAACGTACCGATTAATCTAGTGAAGCGATAAGAATTCTGAAAACAGATTTGAATTTGTCGTCAAGTCTACTTTTCCACATTTTTGATAGTATCCCCCCAAAATCATAAAAA